CAGTTCCGAGATCCGTCTTGCAGAAGTGATGGCCACCAGAAATAAAGATTTCATGCGTAGAAATTTGAGTGGAATACTTCGAATTGGTTCAAAGGGGTGTTTGGTAAGTGCTGTAAGTACCGTGTTGAGTCTCCAGGTTGGAAACCTGTGAGCCTGTGGTGGATCTCTCGCGGTCGCGCCTCGGAGGAAACGTATGATATGAGGATGTCTAGACACTGGAAAACCTTGAGAGTGTGGAAGTACAGAGGCTAACGCTGCCATCTGCCGCTTGAGGGTGGATGCTTTAAGGCCACTATTCCTCCCATCCTGAAGGAAATCTAAAAGCGAAGCGATGGCTGGACGCAGGGGGTCGACCTTCTTGCGAAGAGCCCAGCGGACAAAAGCTTTCCAGGTAAAATTATATATTCGCGAAGTAGACGGTCTCCTGGATGCCATCATGGTATCAATCACTGACTCCGCATAACCTAACCTGGAAAACCTGGACCTCTCAACTTCCAGGCGGTCAAATGGAACCAGCCCGGATCCGGGTGACGAATCGGGCCCTGTAGCAACAGATCGTCTGATACCGGCAGAGTGATGGGAGGAGACACCGACATCTCCCTGAGTGCCGTAAACCACGGCCGACGTGGCCAATACGGAGCTATAAGTATCACCTCCGCCTGCAGGAGTCGTATTTTTTGAAGAAGTCTGGGTAAGACCGGTAGTGGAGGAAAGGCATATAGAAGTCCTTGAGGCCAAGGAGAAAGAAGAGCATCCGTCTCTTCCGCCATCGGGTGGAAATACCTGGTGTAGAAGCGTGGAAGTTTGGAGTTGATGTGAGAGGCAAACAGATCCACTTGCGGCATTCCCCACTCGGCCGTTATCACCTGGAAGGCCTTCTCGTGCAGCGACCATTCTCCTTCCTGCAGTACCTGGCGACTCAGCCAATCTGCTTGAAGATTGACTACTCCTTGTACATGCTCCGCCTTTAGAGATGTCAGATTGACTTCTGCCCAATTCAGAAGAAGAGTCGCCTCCCTGTGAAGAGAACGGGATTTCGATCCCCCCTGTTTGTTTATATAAGCCTTTGCGGCTATGTTGTCCGTACGAATTAAAATATGGAGATCTTTGATGAGAGGAGCAAACTGAAGAAGAGCTAGTCGTATGGCTCTCAACTCCAACAGGTTGATCGGCATGTGTTGTTCCACTTCCGACCAAGTCCCTTGTATCGGTATGTTGTGCAACGTGGCTCCCCAGCCCGTGAGGCTTGCGTCCGTAAATATTTGGGTTCTCTCCGGAATCCAGAAGGTCTTGCCTTGTGTAGTATTGCGGGACACTGTCCACCATTTCAAACTGGACTTCACTTGAAGTGGCACCTTCAGGGACAGATCCATCCTGGCAGCAACTGAGCGTTGGTATGGGCGTAGAAACATCTGTAGCTGTCTTGAATGAAGACGTCCCCAATGCAGGGAGTCGAACGTCGCCACCATCAACCCCATCATTTTCGTCAGAGAGGACAGTGATGATGTTCGCGCCTGTATGATTTGTTTGGCCAAATTCCGTATCTTTTCGGCTTTCCCCTGAGGAAGGAACAATTTTGTCTTCTTGGTGTCTATCACCATACCCAGGTGTTCCAAACGTTGGGTAGGCATTAAGGAACTTTTTTGGAAATTTATTAGAAAGCCGAAATGTTGAAGGCAACGTACCGTCGTTTCCACGTCCCTCAGCGCTTGCGGTCTCGATGGGGAGCGGACGAGCACGTCGTCGAGGTAGGGATGAATATGAATTCCTTGTTCTCGAAGACATACAATCACGTGGACGAGAATTTTGGTAAATACTCTGGGGGCTGATGCTAGGCCGAATGGAAGAGCCCGAAACTGAAAGTGGTCTTTTCCCACGGAAAAGCGGAGGAACTGGCGATGGCGAGGAAACATGGGGACATGAAGATATGCTTCCGTTAGATCTATAGAAGAAAGAAATTCTTGTGGTCTCAAAGATTCCGCGATGGAGCGCAGGGTTTCCATGCGGAAATGTTTTGGTTTTACAAATTTGTTTAAGAATTTCAAATCTAGAATAGATCTCCAGTCCCCGTTTTTCTTCGGGACTGTGAAAAAGATGGAGTATATCCCGTCCCCGCTCTCGGCCTGTGGAACCGGTTCTATTGCCTGTATACGAAGCAGATGAGCGATGGCCGCCTCCGTTCTTTGACGTTTTGAAGGATTTCTGTGGCTGGGAGACATCAGAAAACGCTGAGGCGGTCGGGACAGAAATTCTATTTTGTATCCTTCCAGAACAAGTTCCCTTGTCCAGGAATCCGGGTGGGAGTTGATCCACTCTTGACTGAAGAGTAGAAGGCGTCCTCCCACCGGTGGCGTTGGGTAGTCACGCCTTGGGATTTTTTGGATCGGTGTCCCCTCTGTCCTTTCTATTGCCGTAGGATCTTGGAAATCTGTTGTTGAAGCCTCCGCGCCGAAAGGACTGTTTGGTGCCCCATGACGGACGTCGATTGTCCTGTCTAAACTTGGTCGCGGAGGGAAATGGACGGGACGGAACGGAGGCGGTTGCCGAGGTAGAGGGAAAGGAGGATTGCCTCTTATCCCCGATGCGGACAAATTTTGGTAGAGATTTCTTTTTATCTCTTGACTCAACTAATATTCTCTCTAGAGAGTCCCCAAATAATTTGTTTCCCTGAAAAGGATAGCCGGACACAATGGTTTTAGATTGAAAGTCAGCCTGCCAGGTTCTCAGCCACACCAGACGCCTGGCAACCGCAGAAGACGCCATGGCCCTAGAGGAGAGTACCATGGTGTCGAGGGTGGCATCAGCTGTAAAAGAAAGAGCTTTCAAAATTCTGTTAGCACCTTCTAATAAGCGCGTATTATTTTCGGGTAACATTTGAATGAGCTTCCTCATCCAGACTATGGAGGCTCTGGACACAGTAGATGCAGCGGCAGACACCTTAATTGCCATAGATGAAGCCTCATGAGAACTCTTGAGGGTAGTATCTGACCTCTTGTCCATACTATTCCTTAGGCTGCCATGACCATCCTCTGAAAGCAGACCTGAGGATTGAAGAGCTGCTACTGGGGCATCTACAGCAGGGATCTGTAAGACATCTGAAGCAGATGAGGTTATTGGGTACAATTTCTTTAACAACCCGGGGGTATGTTTGTTAGAAAACGGTTTTTCCCATTCAGCCTTAACTTTGCGCATGTAAAAATCCGGAAAGGGAAAAGCCCTTTCAGACAGATCATCCGGAGGAAAAAATTCATCCGTAATTTCAGACCCTTCATACAGTTCTGCCTCCTCAGAACTTTTGAGTTTGGATTTTTGTAAATTTTGAATTTTAAGGGCTGAGACTGTCTTAGACAGTAGGTAATGGAGGTCCTCAGGTTTAAAAAATCTAAAGGACTGTTGTGGAGGAGCGGGGATGGCAACCTCCTCTTCAGCGTTAGAACTAAACTCCCCCTCCTCTCTCTCACTGGAGGCATTAGAACTGTTCTCTCCCTCCCCCTGAGTAACTGCAGGGTGGGTACGTTTAGGGAAGACCTTTTTTGCAGCCTTGGTGGGCCATTTCTTTTTGCTCTTGCTTGGGGGAGGAGAGGGGGAAGACGACGGAGATCGTGACCTGCTAGATCGTCCTCCCGAATTACAGAAACGGGCGATCTCCTGTCTCATAGCTCTCCTAAAGAAGGACATAACTCTAGGGGATAAGGGAGCAGACGTGTCGTCACATTCGTTACCTCCTCGAGTGACTCCTTCCCCTCCTCCGTCATTCTCCCGGGCAGCCTCAATTTGAGTGCTCGCTGCTTGGTCGGATCCGCTTAGACCAATAGTCTCGGATCGCCCCCCGCCCTGCAAAGGGCTGCATCGCTCGTTATTAGCATCTAAAATGGCCGCCGCCATCTCTGAGGACTCCAAGAGCGAATGGGAGCTTTTGGCGCGTTTAGCCGCGCCGTGCGATTCTGCCGCCCGATCCTTGCCGTCCGGCGCTCTTTTTCGGCCAGCGCGGCTTTCCTCTCTTTCGATTTCCCCCGAAGAGAGAAATCCATCGGTTTCTCCCCTGCGTGCCATAGCCGCCTTGGGAGAGGAGTCTTACGAAGCAGGCGAAAGAAGGGGGGGTGAGGAAAGGAGATAGATCGACAGAAGAGGCTTTTTTTTTTTTTTTGAATCTAACAAGCAGGCAAGGTGAAAGAAAGACTTGAAGAAGAAACAGGAATCTTGAAGTGAGGTAACAGATAAAAGATTGAATAGTGCAGGCGAAGCCTAAATTAGTCAATGCTCTCCCTACTGAGGCAGGAAGAAAACTGAGCTGAGGGTGACTCCCAACACAGGAAACAGGAAACAGTTTGAAGTTCCTGCCTCCCTAAGAGATGGTTGGGAATCACCCACAAGATGGCCTCCACCTCAGAGGGAGAAGTTCCTGTGTGCCACGGAGGAGACCTGAGCCTCCAAACGTAGGCCAAGATCCACCAGCACTCCCAAGCTGTGAATCTGCTCCTTTGGGGAAGTGCCCCACCAGACTGATTACTCAGTGTTTCAGCAGGTCCTTCATTGACCCAACCACACCCAGTCTTGTCGGGACTGAGCTTCAGTTTTTAGGTCCTCCTCCATTCATTTACCTTCTCAGGGTATTTAATTCAGAGATTCCCTATGTCAGATTTGTTGGAGAAAGAGGAATGCTTGGCTTTTCTCCTTTGATATAATTCATAGCTCTCCTGCCTGAGTAGTCTCAACATGTTTGCTCTGTGGAAATCTAGTTTGTGTTTCTCTTTCAGTGATGTGTAGCACTCTGTGTACTGTGAGGAAGCTGATGATGTCAAACACTGAAATAGGAATTGGAAACATTAGGTAGTTCTACTCCTTCCAAATCTACAGTATACATCCACTGTAGTGTTAATTTGGCTAGAGAAGGAATCTTGGATTTAAAGCTAGAAATCAAGAACTCTGCTTTGGGCTGTCCACTTGGAGGCAACATCTTCTGAAATCAGTATGATGAAATATTAATATATTTAACTTACTTAGTTTTACAGGTTCTTTGGTCTCTTGGAGATCCTATTGTATATGTTGCTGGAAGAAAGGATACAGTGCCCTCATAGTACTGATGGGAAAGGAAATTCTTGAAACCTTAGAGAGTGAAGAACTAAGAATGATGAACTATTCTAAAGCAACACAGAAATTCTTTTTCTGCCAATTTTCTTGTAGACTGGCAAACCTTCCCCCCAATTTTATTTTTTAATTTTAAATATGTATATGCCCGCCTTTCTCCTGAGCACCACAGGACCCAACGCAGGTAATGTCAATATAAAAGCTATTAGATAAAATAAGAAAGATCAAAACAGGAAATATAAACTATATTAAAACACCAGTCTAAAACTACTTTATGCTCCACTAGCAGGATATTCCCCCTTTGCCCAGGCTGAGTTTGCTACAAAGGCTCTCTGGAGTGACTGTGTTTTGCAGCCTCACCAGAAAGGCAGGAAAGTAGAAATCCCCTGATCTCTTTCAAGAGGCTGTTCCACAAGCATGGGGCAACCACTGAAAGAGCCTGAGCCCAGACTGTTGCAGAACATGCCTTAGACAAAGGAGGTACCAAGAAGAGCTCTTGCTTGGAAGAATGAAGCTGCCATACAGGAACAAACAGTTTTGTTTGATTTTGGTTCTACAGCACCCTGAGTTTCCTTCCCAATTCACCTGAAGAAAGTTCAGCTCTTTTAGCTGTATCTTCCACTGCACCTGGCATTTTTCTCTGATGACTTTGTACCTCCCCATGTAGCACAGGTTTGCCAACCAGGTGGGGCCCAGAGTTCTCCTGGAGTTATAACTGATCTCCAGACTACAGAGATAATGAGGAAATGATAGCTTTGAAGAATAGACTCCAGGGGATCACATCCCAGCTAAGTTATCTCCCTTCCTCAAACTCCACCCTCCCCACACCCTGCCCTCAACTCTCCAAGAATTTCCCAACCTGGAGTTGGCAACCCTACTATATCTATAATGGTGTCAAGCAGTCCCCGTGCCCTACAGTACACCTGGCTAACGAGTAGCATCTCAGTGTAAAAGGGAGAGTGGCTTTAGATATTAAAGTGAAATTATGAGAAATCGCCATGACAAATCAGAAGCCTGGCATGAAAAAGTGGGTGGCAGTAGGCCCTACCATGTGAAAACTGAATCCTCCTCTAATCTCTCTTTGTTTCTACAACACTGATCCTATCAAACTTTAGCTTTCTAGGAAAGAAATGTGAAAGTCAAATCAATCTGCTTATGAAAAAAAAACCTTGCTTGTAAATGTTTCACGTTTTCAATGCCTACTCAGAAGACCAAAGCAAACTTTAGGGTCATCAATGTTGTATAAACTCTGATAAAGCTCCTGAATTAGGTCATGGTTAATTATGTTTGAAATACACCCCCCCTCCCAAAAAGCTTTAAAAAGGGTTTATCAATGGACTGATTTTCTGTCAGATGTATGGTGCCAAGACTTTAATTTTTACCTGCAAAGTCGTATCTGACAGACCCCATCCAGCGCTTCTCTTCACTGTCTTTTAACACATCTCCATAAAATCCGTACCCCAATAGTGACACAAAGTACTTAAGAAATGTCTTATTGCAATGTACTGAAGAGACATCCAGAGGTTGACTGTCCCCTGTCAATGAGAGACATTTCAGATGTTTAACCTCTTTTAACCTTTAAGAATGGTGAGAAAAGATTCATCAGTAACCAGTATAATAATAGAAAGGAGAGGGGATCCAGTACAGATGCTGAAAGCAGTAAGTTAAATGCATTATTACGGAGCTGTATAGGTACCTTCCAATATTGTGAAGCTGCCTTATACCAAGTGAAGCCCCTTGGTCCTTTAGGTCAATATTGTCCATTGGTAGTAGCTGTCCAGCTCTTCAGCACAGACAAATCCTTCCCAATGCCAGCAACCTGAGTTAACTAGAGTTGCCAGGCATTTGAACTTGGGACTTTCTCATCTATATATCTAAAGAGTGAAGTGTGACCCCTATCTATGGAGATCTAAATCTGTGGATTAGGGCGACACAGAAAGAAAACAGGTTTGCAGGAAAATCTGAAAAATACATTGGTGGGGATTAAATAAATAAAAGGTAAGGCACTTTCCTCCTCCTCCTTTGTAAGGGTGTGCTGATGACAATGTGGGTGGGAAGAAGCCTCAGCAGCTGGCATCACCAGGAGCCATGCAGTCCTTGCCAGCATTGTTGTCATGAGGAAGGGGGAAGCCTTGGTGGCCCCTGTGGTAGAGGCCAGGAGCCACACAGGTCTTGCTGGCATCATTGGTGACAGTGTGGAAGGAGAAAAGCCTAGGAGGTTGGGAACTATGCAGCTCTTCGCTTTCAATGCCTGTGTCACGGGGAAGGGAGAAGCCTTGGAGGTCAGAAGCCATGCTGCTCTTGGCCTCCGATATCAGTGTTGGGTGGTGGTGGTGGAGATCAGGAGCCTCATGGTTTTTAGCATCCAATAGCAGTGTCAGGTGGGAACTGACAGGTCCTGTAGTGGAAGGGGTGGAATAAAAGTTGGGGGGAAATTCCCCCCTCCTTGAGTATCACAGGTCCCCACTTGTATATTCTAATAGTGAAGTGTGGCCTCATCTGAAGATACTTAAATCCAGAGACTGGAGAGGTGAATGGACAAGATGGATCTTTCAACAAACCTGAAAAATGCCCCAGGTTTGCAGAAAAATCTGAAATCTAAAAAAACCCCAACATCAGGTTTTGTTTTGTTTTTAAACTCAAACTATAAAAGGATTGCCTGGAGCTTTAACTGATGCCATGAGTGGCTGTTGCTAGACAACCACAATAACTGGCCAGCATTCTAGGATTGGTTTCTGTCAGTAAAAGGCAGGAGGAGGGGGTTGGGACTTTTCCAGGGATATTTTGGACTTTGAGGGAGGACTCATTGGGGCCAGGTTTGGCAGCAACCACTGTACAACTTGACACCACCTGAACTGTGTGACTCACCCAGGTCTGACTGGTTGCTACTATTCAACAGCAGCTCCCTGCAAAAAGCAGTGTGACATAGTGTTTAGAGTTTCGCCTGGAATCTCAAATCCCCATTGTGCTGTGGAGGATCTGGCAGACAAAGACCTTGCTAGCAAGATATGTTAAGTTTGCAGTGTGAAATCAAAGGACTTAAGACTGGAGAACTTCTGCAGATGATTGCAGTGTAGAGTTACATTTTCCCACTGCCAAAAGAGGAACCCCACCGAGTCACTCCCCCTGTACCCCGCTGGAGGGGGCGGGGGGGGGGGGGAGGGATAGCTAAGCAAAGCAGCAATCTTCCACCACTGCAATGTCAATTCTAGCAAGGTAGCTGGAAGTGACATCACCACGTTTTGGCAACATTGAGTTTGGGTAAATTGTAGCGTGTCCAGCAATGTGGTGATGTCACTCCTGGTTATTTAGCCAGAAGTTGTGTTGTGGTGTTGGAATATCAACATTAGGGTAAGTCCCACACCCACTAGTCTCCCATTTGCAGTGTTAAATACTCACCCACAATTATATGTAATGCTGATGTTACTGGATCATTGATACCAACCGTTGCATAACATATGCAGTCTGTTGAACCTAGGGAAGAAGCATGTATCAGTATACTTGGACAGCATTATAACAATACACAGAAAAGGGTGATTTCTTTACAGATGTATGATAGCCCACTTTGGTGCTCTCTTCTCCTTAACAACTGATATTTAAGCTTATGAAAATCTTTGACTCCATTGACTAGTGATGCTTTCTGCTTGCTTTGGTACATGAGGCTTGGCTCATGTTATCGGGACACCTGGAAATATGAACTCTGCAAGTTCAGTAGTACAGTGGCCTCTCCAGACTGGCCATGTCCACATTAGCCTGGGCCAGTTGAGTCATGGAATTACCAGGGGACCAGGAATGGTGTAGGTCTAGGGTTGCCAGGTTCCCTCTTGCCACCAGCAGAGGATGGGGTGGGTGGGTAGGGTTGTGAGATCCAGGTTGGGAAACTCCTAGAGATTTGGGGATGAAGCCTGGGCAGGGAACTCAGTGGGGTACAGTGCCATAGACTCCACCCTCCAAAGCATCCATTTTCTCCAGTGGAACTGATCTCTATAGTCTGTAAATGTGCTGTAATTCCAGGGTGTCCCCAGGTCCCACCTGGAGGCTGGCATCCCTGTGCAGGTCCCTAAATTAATTCTGGACACGGCATGTGATGTTCAGGATGTGGTCCTTGGCAAGGCAGAGCCCAGATGGAAAACTTCCTCTCTCTTCAGCCCCAAAAGCAGAAAACACATCCTCTCCCATTTATGCAGCGTAACAAGGCAAAGTGCTGGTGTTTGCTTAGTCCACACAGGCAGAGGGGTCAATGCAATTTTCTAGAAGGGTGTAGAGGGAGATCAATCCATTGTTACAGTGCAAATTCTTTTGTCAAGCTGGGGACTGTTTGCCAAGTGTGGGATAAAAGAAATAAGCTTAGTGTGTGTTTAAGCAAATGGCTTGATTTGTCCAAGCAGGCTGGTGGGATGAATGTGGTTAAATGAAAACTAGAGTTCTAGCAGTCTGGGCTGCTCTGTACATAGCAGGCATCTCTGTGTGCTGACATATCCCCTGCAAGTTCATTAATGCCAAGATACAAGTCAAGTGGCCATTTCTGGCTCAAATGGGACACCAGGGCAACAGCTTGACAGTCCAAAAGAAAGCTTGGGTTTGATTTGATGGCATGGATGTTTTATCACCACCTCACAAAAGTCAGAATTCATAATCTGACTTTCCAACAGAAGTAATTTTTAGGGGAGCAGATGAGGGGGGGAATGCCTCTATTTAGAAACAGCCCTATCATGTAAATACTTACATAAAACCTTTGGAGCCAACCTTAAAGTCAGTCCTGAAATGTGGGCCAGGGCTAAAAATCTAACCTGCAAGCTCATGATTTTGCCCCTTATCTACCATGTATGAGGACTAGATAAGGGTTACTCATATGTGAGGCAAAGGCAATCTACTTGTTGACAGAAGCACTCTTCTCAACAATTCTAGGAAAAGCCATTCCAGGTAGTTTCAAAATGGAAGATGTGAGATCCCTGTTGAAACTAAAAATGAAGATATGTTGCAAGGCCTCGTGAATTTTCTGGTGAATGTGTATTTGTGAGTTCTACACTGGCAATAACCAGTAAGCTATGAATCCTTTCTTTCTGCGAGAGCCTCAGAAACCAGTCTGTGACTCTTCAAACTGAATGGGAAACATGTCTCACTCCATGTCTGTTATGCTTGGAAATGTGCCTTGCTTCTTACACATCAGTCAGAAGGCTTTGTTTACTATCAAGGTGGTCTGACAACAGGGAAGACTGGAAAATGCACATCAAAGGTGCATGCACACCGTGAACAAAATGACAATGTTAACTCTGCACAAAAAACAAAATGGATAGCTTTGACACTCAAACAAAGGCTGGTCTATGCTCAGCTGAAGCAACATTCTCTGTATTGTAGTGGATAACAGGGGTTAATGCTTCTGCTTTTAGCCTAGTAGATATAAACATGCCTGTCTCTAATGGAACATGATGCGGGACTGTTTTGCTGTATTGAGAGCCAGTTTGGTGTAGTGGTTAAGTGCGCGGACTCTAATCTGGGAGAACTGGGTTTGATTCCCCACTCCTCCACTTGCACCTGGCTGGATGACCTTGGGCAAGCCATAGTTCTGATAAGAGCTGTTCTTGAAAAAGAGCAGTTTCTGTCAAGAGCTCTCTCAGCTCCACCTACCTCACAGGGAGTCTGTTGTGGGGAGGGGAAGGGAAGGAGTTTGTAAGCCGCTCTGAGACACCTTTGGGTAGTGAAGGGCGGGGTATAAATCCAATCTCTTCTCTTCTCTATCTGGCTTTGTGACTACAACTATTTACATTGAAATCACCATAGGTAGAGGGAGAGCAAGCACAAATACACTAATCCCCATAAGTGTGATTGTCAGTTCATAAGCATGGAGTCTATGCACACAAGAAGTGTAGCCCCTCCCCCTAGTGCATGATCAGAAACGTCAATAGTTTTTAACATTCCTGATCACAGGGAAGGAATCTATGTGCTGACAAGTTGATGACTGGGCATAGGTGGAACCAGTGTTAGGGTTGCCATTCCCCAGTTGGGGCGAGGGATCTCCCAGTTTTGCAGGCTCCTGCCTGCCACTGGCCAGCTGACTGGCAAGAGAAAATCCCTCCCCTCAACAGCAACGTCGCCAGAAATAAACCCGATGCACTTACGTCACCTGGAAGTGACATAAACATGTCGATGACCTCGGGAGCGGGATGCTCTGTTTTTTGGGCAAAACTCTATGGTTTGAGGCTGATTTTACTATAGCGTTTTCCCCAAAAACCACAGCATCGCCCCTGACAACACCAATGTGCCTATGTCACCTGGAAGTGACATAGGCACATCACGTGACAATGCTTCCTGCTCCCAGAATGTCCCCCCCATACCCCTGCCAGCATTTCTGACAGCCCTGGCAACCCTAACCAGTGTACTCATGATCTCTTCTATATGCACTGTTTTCAACACACTTAATATGTATACAGGCCTTGTGATGAACGTGGTATTCTTCCCACCCAGAATAAGCCCCTTCTGCAACCTGATGGAACTACCAGGGGGGTGAAGGAAGAGTGTTGGTTCAGAGTCCATGAAATTAAGAGAAGGGTTTCTCGCGTTTCTGTCTTTGTACAGTCACAATAGGAACTTTAGCTCATAGATCCCAGTCTTGTGATTCTATGAGAGATACTGCACTATGCACATTCCCCTGAAAGTAAGCCTCATTGGATATAGTGGGATGAACGTCTGTGTAAACACGCATAGGATGGCACTGTTAAGTATCAGCCCTAACAGTGTTGTCCGAAGCAGCAGAGTCGCAGCCTTTTAAGTCAATGGAAGTCAACAGGCTTAGAGGGGTATAGTAGGATGGCACTGTAAATGTACTAGACTGATACTTACTCCCTCCCTAAAATGTGCATCTGGGCCCAAGAGAATGTCAATACATTATATAATGAGAATGCATGGTGAACGTTCAAACATGTTGCAATTCTTACCCGCAGGGATTATGCCAATCCTTGTTTTGCAAGGGACTAATGGTGCTGTGGGATCATTTTGATCTATGCCAGAATCCTTCTGTGTTCTTCCAATTAGACCATGCATCACTTCACTGAACATTCCGTCCCCACCAACACAAACAATACTGCCAGAAAACACACAAACGAAAATGCATGCAGACAAGTCAATACATGAATGTGTCAAGTGCCCCAACATAAGAGACATGATTTTTTTTTCTGGCCAAGCCTTTTGTTTTACACTCCCCCTATCAAGTTCTGCAGATACTGGTAACCAGGTGATGAATACAAAACATAATTTCTGATATTGAAACTGCTGTTTTCTTTTCTTTTGATTTTTTTTAAAAAATTCCTAATTTATATTGGTTTTGTGTGAAAAGCAGTACAAATATGAGCGGAAACAAAACCATGAGCATGAGACAGACATTGACACAGGGACGACACACTTGAAAGAAGTTCCTTGTCTAACTGTAGGGGATTTGACTCAACTGGATGTCTACCATTTAAAGCCACCATAAACCATCATCTTCCAACTTAGCTATCAATCTGGATATTTCTGTGGACAGAACAGTGAACAGTCATCTGTAATGGGCAGCAGAGCCCTTCTTAGATGTTCTCCCAGCCACCTGGTAGTTACACATCTGTAACTGACTTCCATGTGGCTGGGAGAACATTTGAACGACTCAGCTACATAGGTAATGGCTGACTGCACATGCACAAAGCTGCCACATGATTTCCCAACTGAATGTTGAGTCTCTAGTTAAGACATATGTCACTGGCCTCGTCCACATGGTCGACTCATGTAAATGTTCTCCCATCCACAGAAGAGCTGTAAATGGAAAAACAACTACCATGTGTCCCTGGGTAATTACTTAAGGGCCCCCTAATAGTGGTGATTTCACACATTCAAATTGTGCTGTCAGAACAACAATTACCACATAACTAACATCATGTATGAACTCAGGCTTACTGAGAAATGCATGTATGTAGTGTAGCACCACAAGAGGGGTGAAACTTCTGAAAACTCACCCTACATGGACTAGCCCCGTTATGTGGAAGTCTGCACCAGAACCAATGGTACCAGGAATGTGCAATAGAGATTCTTCAGATGGTAGAGTTGGTCCAGGTGGTGAATGGTTACTCTCCTGCACTTATGCTCTGGTGTTTCAAGTGCACTGGTGTGACCTCAATAACACATAAAGTCGCTCTTACAGGAGTTAAAAATAAAGTTAAGCTCAACAGCAGGAAGCAACTTGTTTCTGGCAAAAACGTGGTATCTCCAATGACCATGCCCATTTGATATGGATAAAGGAAGATAAGAACATAAGAGACATCAATGTTGGATCAGGCCAAAGGCCCATCCAGTCCAACACTCTGTGTCACACAGTGGCCAGAAATACCAGGTGCTATCAGGAGGTCCACCAGTGGGGCCAGGACATTAGAAGCCCTCCCACTGTTGACCCCCCCCAAGCACCAAGAAGACAGAGCATCACTTGCCCCAGAGCCCCTATCTATACCTTGTGGCTAATAGC